GGAAGGCGCGTGCTGCCAATTGTCAGCACTTCCACTCGGAGGCATATTTTGCCCATTGTGATGCCCTCAAAAAAATATTACCGGGAGAGGCGAGTTGCTAACCTTTATGATCCTTGTTAAACCATTTGGTTTTCCAGATGAAGTTGACGAGATCCGATAAGTTTACTTTCGTTATCTCGTCCAAGCCAGTGAAAAAGCGATCTCCGAGACATTGAAGTCGCCTTGTTTGAAGTCCTGGACAGAGACAGAGGAAGTGGTTGATAGATTCTACCTCATCTTCATCTTGGCAACTCCTGCATAAACCGCTTGTTGGAACTCGCCACCGTTGGAGCATGGATGCAATGACACAATGCCCCGTTAGTACTCCAGTAAGCACACGAACTGCAGGTTTGCTGAAGCCTAAAAGGCTTTTCGTTTTATTTTTGTCCAACCTCGGCCATAAGGTTCTAGCGACCTCACAGTCTTCGCGTATCCATAAAACTGAACAATTAAATAAACAGCGACAATTAGAATATAGTAAGTTTAAAAAAAACTGAAAATAGAAAAAGCAAAACTATGCTTTGAGTCCTAATTCGTCCTGTCTTCAAGATAGAAGCACAAAATATCATTAAAGACATTTCACTCATTTGCCTGAAAATGTCATCAAAAAGTTACAAACTTTAACATCGATAACTTTATCTCTTTAAAATATATTCGATAACAAATTATTCGATCAATTTTGAAAGTAATCAAAATTCAGAAAGAATAAGCGATTTTGACAACCGCCGGGAAAGTCCTATAATCAGATATTTTACTTCGTGAGAGACTTGCATATCCAAGAACTTTAAATACTTCAAAGATTAAACATTTTGTTTAAAAACTTTACAAAAAAATTGAAAAATTAAATTATGCAAACAAAATGTTTTATTAGTATTTAAAATATATATTTAGTCACATTTAGTCCATCGGTTTACTCCAGCACCTAAAGGCCCTCTTATGGATACATGTCTGCAACTATACTGTTTTTGAACAATTAGACTAATGTTCGCAGTAGTTCGGAGTATTACAATTTTGATAGTAATTCTGTAACATTTAAATTAACAAAGAATTATTATGGGAATCCACCAATTGTTAACTTAAATGAAATGTAGTCATGCTAGTGTCCAAAAATATAAAAACTAATTCATCACAGAATTTATATAACATGCAAAAGAAAACCTCTTTATATTGAGATCATGAGGATGTGAAACATTTGCGAGTGATACATGTCGATATGCTTTGAATTTCTAGATTAAATAACTTCTATAGTCGCTGTGACAAAACTGAACTATAAACTATGAAATGTTTCCTTTCTTAAGACAGGAATAGAACGGTTTTATTTACGTCACCAACATGCTAAAATAAAAGAATCAATCCATATTAATTTACTTTATTTTTATTTGTAACTCAAAAATAATAATTTAATAAAATAAAATCAAAAGTTTATTTTAAAATTAATTTTTTTTAAATTCGTTTATGTTAATAACATTGCAATGTTACTAAGCTGCTTTTCGTACTTAACTGAAAATATCAGTTCGTTCCAAATATATCAAATAGGTATAGACAATTTAATGCAATTAATTTGAGATCGTACATTAGTACATATCCTTCATGCTATCTTTCATGCTAAAACTAAAAATAGTTCTTACTCCATTCATTTCAATTTGAAATATTAAAACTAAAAAACATTAGAATACTAGATTTTTGTACAAATAAGTTCTTAGGTTTTGCCCTGCGTGTATATAACGGTATTCTTTATTGCTATATACATGTACATATGTAACAATAATCTGAATAAGTAATTCAGATTAGATTCAGTTTTTATTACAGTAACTTGTATTTTAACTTAAACTATTACACTACTCTATATAATTATTT